TTTTGATTACTATAGCTTGGTAGTATATACAAATATACTATGGTATAAAATCAGGCAGTGTGATGCCCCCAGCTTTGCCAATTAAAAACCACAATGAAGTATCATCTCACACCTGTTAGAATGCCTACTACAGAAAAAGACAAATGATAACAAGTGTTGGTAGGAATGTAAATTAGTGTAGTCATTATGATACATAGTATAGAGGTTCCCCCCAATATTAAAAATAGAACTACCATATGATCCAGCAATCTCATTTCTGGGTAAATATTTAAAGGAAATGATATAACTGTCTCAAAGAGATATCTGCATTCTTATATTCATTGCAACATTATTCACAATAGCCAAGATATGGAAACAACCTAAGTGCCTGTTGGCAGATGAATGGGTAAAGAAAATGTGGTATATAGGGTATGTATGTATATATGTATGCGTTTGTATGTGTGTGTATGTATGGATACATATATATAATGGAATATTATTCAGTCTTTACAAAGAAGGAAATATTGTCATTTTTGACAACACGGCTGAACTTTATTTCATTATGCTAAGTGAAATAAGCCAGACACAGAAAGACAAATACTGCCTTTTTTCATCTATATGTGGAATCTAAAAAAGTCAAGCTCTTAGAAGCGAAGAGTAGAATGGTGGTTACCAGGGGCTGGAGAGGGATGGCACAATGATGAGATATTGGTGAAAGAGTACAAATTTTCAGTTTTGCAGGATGAATAAATTCTGGAGATCTAATGTACTGTATGATGACTATAGTTCACAATACCATTTTGTTTTTGTTTTTTCAGACAAGGTCTAGCTGTATTGCTCAGGCTGGAGTGCACTGGTGCCATCTCAGCTCAGTGCAACCTCCGCCTCCTGGGCTCAAGCCATCCTCCCATCTCAGCCTCCCTAGTAGCTAGGACTACAGGCATGCACCATGTGTTGCATACTTGACATTTGCTAAGAAAGGAGGTCACACCCCCCACCCCGAAAAGTAACTCACACCCCCACCCCAAAAAGTAACTATGTGAGGTGAGGATATGCTAATTAGCTTGATTTTGGTAAACATTTCACAATGTATACATCTTTTAAAACATCATGTTGTGTACCTTAAATATATACAATTTTTGTTTGTCAATTATTCCTCAATAAAACTGGAAAAAAAATAAAACTGGAAATACTGAACAAAAAGCAAGTCTGATAGAACTCATCTGTTAAGCATTTTCTTTGTGAAAAGATTTTTAATTTCCTGCTTCTCTTGTATAATTAAAAATTTTTAATTATGATAAAAATAACATAAAATTTACTATTTTAACCATACAATTGAGTGGCATTAACTATATTCACAGTGTTTTGCAACCATCACTGCTGTCCATTTCAGAACTTTTTCATCATTCTAAACTGAAACTCTGTAGTCATTAAATAATTCCCCAAACTCAGGCTGGGCACCGTGGCTCACGCCTGTAATCCCAGCACTTTGGGAGGCTGAGGCAGGCGGATCACCTGAGGTTAGGAGTTCGAGACCAGCCTGGCCAACATGGTAAAACCCCGTCTCTACTAAAAATACAAAAATTAGCCAGGCATGGTGGCAGGCTCCTGTAGTCCCAGCTACTGAGGAGGCTGAGGCAGGAGAATCACTTGAACCCTGGAGTTGGAGGTTGCATTGAGCTGAGATGGTACCATTGCACTCCGGCCTGGGCAACAAGAGCAAAACTCCCTCCCAGAAAATAAATAAATAAATAAATAAATTCCCCAAACTCTCTGCCCTGGCCCCTAGTAACTTGTTTTGACTGACTGTCTGTATGAATTTGCCTATTCTAGGTACCTCAAATAAGTGGATTTAAACAATATTTGTTTTTCTGTGTCTGGTTTATTTCACTTAGTGTAATATTTTCATCTATGTTCTAGTATGTATCAGAATTTCATTTCCTTTCATGGCTGAGTAATATATTCCATTGTATGTATAGCCCATATATTTTTATCTATTCCTCTGCTGATGCACATTTGATTTGTTACTACCTTTTGGCTCTTGTGAATTATGTGGCTATGAACATTGGTGTGTATCTGTTTGAGCCCCTGCTATCAGTTCTGCTGGGTGTATTCCTAGAAGGGAAATTGTTGGGTCATATAGTAATTCTATGTGTAACTTTTAGAGTTCCTGCCAAACAGTTTTCCACAGTGGCTACACCATTTTACATTTCCACCAGCAATGCAGGAGGGTTCCAATTTCTTCATTTCCTTGCCAACACTTTTTATTTTCTATTATTTTGATAAGAGCCATTCTAATGTGTATGGAGTGAAGTGACATCTCATTGTGGTTTTGATTTGCTTTCCCTAGTGGCTAGTGATGGCTGAGCATCTTTTCATATGCTTAGTGGCCCTTCGTACATCTTTGCAGAAATATTTACTCAGGCCCTTTATCCATTTTTGAATTGGGTTGTTTGGTTTTTTTTGGTGGTGATTGTTGAGTTGTAGGATTTCTTTATATATTCTGGATATTAATTCCTTATCATATATATGCTTTGCAAATATATTATTGCTTATTTATTTATTTTACTTGTTCATTTTGAGACAAAACCTCACTCTGTCACCCAGGCTGGAGTGCAGTAGCATGATCAAGCTCACTGCATCCTTGACCTCCTGGGCTCAAGGGATCCTCCCACCTTTGCCTCCTAAGTAGCTGGGACCACGGGTGCATGCCATCACACCTGGGTAATGTTTTTATTATTGTAGAGACAAGGTTTTGCTGTATTTCTCGGGTGGTCCCAAACTCCTGAGCTTAAGCAATCATCCTGCCTTTGCCTCCCAAAGTGGTGGGATTACAGGCATGAGCCACCACACCTGGCCTGTTTATTAAAAAAACTATTTGACTATACTTTCTATTTCTTTTCGAGTTAGTTTTAGTAAGTTGATATTCTTGGGGAATTTCCCCAAATTGTCTAAAATTTGTAATTTATTGACTTAATGTTGATAATATTCTCTTACTATTCTTTGTCTTACTATATAAGATGTCCCCTTGTTTGCTAATATTCTTTATCTTCTTTCTGTTTTCCTAATCATTCTTGCTCCCCTCATTCCCAGATTCAAAACAACTTATCATCTGCCTAGGAGTTTCTCATTTCTGTTGTTTTTATTATTACTTGCAGGATTCCATGTTTTCATCTAGAGTTTCTCTGACGTTATTTTTGGGAATAGGAGTCAGAAATTACTACCCCCAAGTTTGCCAATTGGCAGGAACCATAACTCTTTACATAGAATTTAGCAATGTAGTCTCATTATTCTTTTAAGATCCTTAAGATTACTAGCCATTTACTGACTGAATTAGAAATGGGAACTTGGTTTTCTTAATTCTAGTTCAATGTTTCCATCACATCTGAAATGTTTTTAGAAAACTTTCAGTGTATACTTTTTAGGAATAGTTTTTATATGAGTTGGAGGAAACAATGAGAATTGTTACTCAGAATCTTATCTGAGAACTGTTATTCAGAGCCAACTCATTAAAAAAAATTTTTTTAGGCCGGGTGCGGTGGCTCAAGCCTGTAATCCCAGCACTTTGGGAGGCCAAGACAGGCGGATCACGAGGTCAGGAGGTCGAGACCATCCTGGCTAACCCGGTGAAACACTGTCTCTACTAAAAAATACAAAAAACTAGCCGGGCGAGGTGGCGGGCGCCTGTAGTCCTAGCTACTCGGGAGACTGAGGCAGGAGAATGGCGTAAACCCGGGAGGGGGAGCTTGCAGTGAGCTGAGATCTGGCCACTGCACTCCAGCCTGGGCGACAGAGCGAGACTCCGTCTCAAAAAAAAAAAAAAAAAAAAGAAAATTTTTTTATTATACTTTAAGTTCTGGGATACATGTGCAGAACGTGCAGGTTTGTTACATACGTATTCACATGCCCTGGTGGTTTGCTGCACCCGCCAACCTGTCATCTACATTGGGTATTTTTCCTAATGCTATCCCTCCCTTAGCCCCCTAAAGCCAACTCGTTTTTGTTGAATGAGTGAAAAATAATCAGATACCTCAACGAGAGCAATGAGAATTGTTTTGGAGATTGTGATAGAGGAAAGAATGAGACCAATTATTCTCAAATCTGAATATTTATAGGAATCACTATAGGAGAACTAGTTAAAAATGTAGATTTCTGAGTCTCACTTGCAGAAATTCTGATTTAGTGGCTTCAGTGGGCAGAATAACGGTCCCCAAAGATGTCTGTGTGCTTATCCTCAGAACATATCCATAGGTTATGTTACATATGGCAAGGGGTAATTAAGGTTGCAGATGGAATTAAAGTGCCGATCAGCTGATATGGGGATTACCGAAGTGGGCCCAACGTTTAAGGGTTCTTATATGGGTGAGAGGAGGCACAAGAGTCAGAATCTGAGAAATGGCGTTATGGTAAAGATTTGGCTGGCTATTGATGGTTTCAAAAAAGTTTAACATTAAAAAAAAGATTTGGTGTTTAGGAAATGTTAGCTTGACATGATAGTTAATTCCTACTGTACCCAGCAACCATATTCTCTTTTTTATTTCTATTACGTTCACAAACCAGACCAGTATATCTGTAGGCAAATAATTAGGATTTCAGCAATGTACTCATCAAAGACTTTATGACCTTCTTTTGGAAAAATGATTGTCAGATGATAGCTTTGTATGACAGAAACTTCATATTTTATATACCTGTGCATAAAGAATGCTCATTCTAAGATGGATGCGAACTGAATACAGATATCTTGATAGATAATTTCTGGACCTCTTGGGAGTTCTAATTAGTCATGAAAATGTAAAAACAAATAGTATATGATGTGCTTTGATGTAGGATAAGAGTTAAAGGAAAACAGTGAGGATGAAGGAAAGTGAGGTTGAAATGAGGATGAAAATATGGTATAAATAAAAAAACTATACAGATTTTCACAGTTTGATCAGTTCTGTGTGAGGGTACAGTTTTTGAATTTTCGATTCCTGAACAAATGTCTCACTTTCTTTTCCCCGTTTCTTTTACTTTTCTCGTAGGACTGCTTTTTTCTCTTCAAGGAATATCAGACATCTTTTCATAAAACAAGGAAACAGATTTTAGAATCCTCAGGGGAAAAATCTTTTGAGGTCTCAGTAATGTATATATTTGGAAAATTTGAAGCTTTTTGCAAACGACTGGAGAAGGTAAGCATTATGCAGTCATCATACCCCACTCCACACCACACCTTTTTGGTGATTTTGTACTTTATGTAGTGCCATTGAGAATTATTGTTCCTGATCTCTTGTCTCACTGTTGTTATGACTCATCTAATGTTACTCACAGGTCCCTGCATTTTATTATAACTTATTTTTTCATTCCTGGTTACTGCCTTCTGCCAGTAACACAAGCGCTATGGTCAACTTCCACATCTCTCAAGACCTCAATTTACCTCTGCCTGTGGAACTTCAACTTAAAAGGCTCTGCTCTTAACAATTATATTAGGCTGAAAAAAAGTGTGAGGTGAAATACCTGCAAAGCCTGGTAGTAGTCAGTAGTTGTGGAATCTCTGGATGTGTAAGCATGTCATCTTTCTGAGCCAGTGTATATGGTGTATACATAAACATTGTGTGGGTGATATCTTTGCTGGACAGACATAGGTTTGATTCATTTATTAGGACTGGTTGGGAAGGAGTGACATTATTTCGGGGGATATAGGCCAGCCCATATCAGCGACTTCTTGGAGTCATCCTTTGAAAAGTATGTAAAGATCTCATTTAGGTATTCTTCCCCCAACTTCGCTAGTTCCCTGGATCCTGCTAGTATTTAGAATCTTGTTCATCATTTGTTGGAAAGTAATGCGGGATATTACGTAGGTTGAAGACCTAGACATGTTTGGAAGCCTATTTTTATTAGTAACTTCCTGATCAAGCCAGGACAGGAAAATATGAGTAATGAACAGAACCAAGTTGCTGAGTGGGATCCTTCATACCTACTTCTTTGATGCTGTTTTTTAAAATTAGTTTCTTTAACAGCTTTATTGAGACGTAATTAATATACTATACTATTTACCCACTTAAACTGTACAAGTCAATGTTTTCTAGGATATTCACAGGGCTGTGCAGTCATTACCACAATCTAATTTTAGAACATTTTCACTCCCACTAAAAGAAACCTTGTGTCCATTGTCAGTCATACCCCATTCTCTCCTCTCCCCAGTTTTAAGCAACCATTGATCTACTGTCTCTATAGATGTACCTATTCTGGACATTTTGTATAAGTGGAATCATACAATATGTGGTCTTTTGTGGCTACTTTCACTAGCATAATGTTTTCAAAGCTCATCTATATTATACTTTTTTTTTTTTTGGACCAAGCTCGCTGTGTCGCCCAGGCTGGAGTGTGCAGTGGCGCGATCTCTGCTCACTGCAAGCTCTGCCTCCTGGGTTCAACGCCATTCTCCTGCCTCAGCCTCCCGAGTAGCTGGGCCACAGGCCCGCTCTGCCACCGTGCCTGGCTAATTTTTTGATATATACCATTTTCCAGAACATCATTCCATTCATCATTGAAGAATATTACCATTGTACGGATAATATCACAGTTTATTTTTCTACTCATCAGTTTATGGACATTACGATTATTTCTCTTTTGGCTTTATGAATAATATTGCTATGAACATTTGTGACAAGAGTTTTATAATCATGTGTGTCCATTTTTCTTGGGTATATGTGCAGAAGCAGAATTGCTAGGTCATATGGCAATCCATGTTTAACTTTTTGTTGATAACCCCAACTAACCAGCAAAAGTTATGGTTATGATTTCTTCACATCCTTGCCAACCATTGTTATTACCTGTCCTTTGAATTTAGCCATTCTACTGGATGAAGTGGGATCTCATTGAGGTTTTGATTTGCACTTCCTGATCCGCTAATGATGTGGAGCATCTTTTCATGTGCTTTGTCCATTTGTATATCTTTCTTTGAAAAAACATCTATTCAAATTCTTTGCATATATTTAACTGAGTTATTTGTCTTTTTTTTTGAGTTTAGAGCTCTTTATATATGCTGGTATAACTTCCTTATCGGATATATGATTACAAGTATTTTCTCTTATTTTGGGTTATCTTTTCACTTCTTGATGTGTCCTTTGAAGTACGATAGTTTTTAATTTTAATGAAGTTCAATGTATCACATTTTCTCTTTGTTTTCCTTGTGTTTTTGATGTCATATCTAAGGAACTGTGATGGGGCTGTTTTCATGCATAAAATTTTAAAAACATTTATTTTATTATAAATTAAAAAAATTGAGATGGTCCTTGTTGTTTTACTCAGGCTGGAGTGCCAAGTGGCGTGATCAGTACCAATTGGCTGAACCCCTCAGCCTCCTGAGTAGCTGGGACTACAGGCATGTACAATCATGCCTAGCTAATTAATTGTGTGTGTGTGTGTGGAGATGGGGTCTTGCTATGTTGATGAGCTGGTTTTGAACTCCTGGCCTCAAGCAGTCCTCCTTCCTCAGCCTTCCAAAGTACGAAATTATAGGCATGAGCCACTGTGCTCAGTCAATAGGGATTTTTTGGGGGCAAATGTTCAATTAGGCTACTAGTACAAGTCAAATTAATACACAGGTCTCACTGGTTAGGACAAAGATGCTTAATGTTCTGACTCCACTAGAGCATAAACCTGGAGGTGGGTCTCGGTTACCCTTATTTTCCAGGAGCCAGAACCCTTGCCAACCTGGGTGCCGTTTTGAAATTGGTAGTTTCAGGACTCAAGCTTATTAGTGGTAAAAATGTTTGGGGGTGGGTCTAATGTTGATAGAATGGTCATCCATCTGTGAAATAGCAGCCCAGGAATTCCTCTGATGCTAGAGGAAGTGGTCTGTAATGACCAACTGCATCAGCTGCACCCACTCTGGTCTCTGGAGAAGCCATGCCTCTGGTTTGAAGAATACAACTTCAAGCCACAAGTGCTCAGCAACCAGAGCTGAGGTAGCACCCCCTAGAGGCCTTACCTGAAATGCATCCTGATTGCTAGGTTGTCCCAACTCCCTTGTACTAAGAACCCCTTGACAGACTGGCACTGTCCCATTGGATAATTGGTGGATATCGGTGTCCACTCTCAAAGGTGGGACTGTCAAACTTAACCCTGAAGTGTGTCCAGGATTTTACATAATCCACAAGAGGTGGTTACCGAGCTGCCTAGGTGGGCTTCCTCTGATGAGTGGGGTATGGAAGGGGCCACTGTTTGACTACCCTTGTGAACTCTTACATAGATGAAGAGGAGAGCCAGAAGGGTGCACTAAGAGCCTATTAGGGAAAGCTGAGATTTGAAGTCGGAATGACCAAGTGACAAAGTCAAAGGGCAGACAAGACTGAGGTTGGGGTTGGAGAGCTGAGATTTCAGAGTTAGACAGATATGTTGGGGCCCTTCGAGGAGTAAGTGAAGAAGGCTCTAGTATGTCAGTGTTAGGATGTCTGAAACACACTTTTATGACAGGTATAGACTTGATGGTGCATTGAGTCCTAAATAGCCAGAACGAAATGTGTGCAATAGTCTTTGCTTCTTCCTCTTCCTGCCATGTAAATGTTGGTGAATATTGGTGTTTCCCAGAGCTCTATCTTCAGTTTTGTTTTCTTCTCACCCTGAACATTTGTGGGAGAGAAGAGAAAAGGTGGAGAGCTGGTATTGCTGGGGGAGATTTGAGGATCTGGAGCTAGTACGTGAGGTAGAGTCTCCACTCATGGTGATGCTGAGATGAGGGAATCATAGCAAGTTGAGAACTGGAAAGGGTGCAAGGTTGGTGAGCCAGAGGAGAGACTATATATTGGTGGTGAGTACTGAGTGATTGAACATTGATAGAGAGATGTTGAAAAAGCCAGGGCCAGGACAAACTAGCAGGAGCATGGTCTTGGTTGATTCCCACTGCTGGCTTTATGTTGCTCTGTGTGGTATGGGGACAGAGGGTCCACTGGCTAAGTTTGAAGGGCAAGCATGGGATTGACCACCGTGTCTGCCTCAGATGACCCCTCATCCAACCAATCAACAAAATAGAGGACATGTTAGTGACAGGAATTTTGTCCCGGTCTCTGGCTGTTGGAGCCAGGTGGTAGAGTAATGAGGTAAGGGTACAGGAAACAGTCTTAGCAGGTTAGAATAACAGAGCAAGCCAGTTTTTTTTTTTTTTTTTTGCTCTTTTGCTTTTTGCTCTTTAAAGTAGTTGAGTGGAGCACATGTATTAGGAGGAGACTCAGATAGTTCCTGTGTTTATATAGAGCATGCGCAACATGCTGTAAATCCCAGTGGCCTGTATTTCCTCCACATTTGCAGTGGCTTCTAGGATGATAATAGTTTTTGGAAGTGTGTGAAAATAGTGGAGTAAGAGCAACAGTTGCTTTGAAAATAGTCCTTCTGGGTGACCATACATGGGGATTCATGTGCATTCTGCTGGCTGTGTAGGAGGATCAGTGGTGTTGTCTTTATGGTGTGTGTGGTATTTGGAAGATTCTCTGAAAACAGGTTTATTTCCTTTCTGGCCATTGGACAAAGGGGCCAGCCCTGGAGAGCATTCAGCATTGTTCTCTAAAGCAGAAGTCAAAATGGGGAAGAGTAAGGAGTAGCCTGTGGACATGAGTTTTTTGTTTGTTTGTTTTGGTGAAGTAGGTGGTGTTAGATTGAGACAAAGGCAGCCATTTCTGAAATGAAGTCCATTGTGAGGGTTTCCCAGGTCTCATCACGGGTCAGGAATGATTGCTGCTGTTATTCAAGCTTCTTGGGCCAGTCTTTTACCTGAATGCAGGTGTCAAAGAGGGAGCACAGGTGGATATGTGCCAATGTTAATTGTCAGAACTATAGTTAGGGCCAAAAAGCAGGGTAGAGCTTCTGAGTCCAGTAATCCAGTGAAATGATTTTCAGAAAATCCTCAAGAGACTGCAGGATGAAGCTATTTAGCCAAGTTCCCCTCCAACCTTGAAAGAAAAGGTGATTAAACTCTGAAAAAGATTGTGAACTCTCTCTGGATATGATATAACATCTTCTGTCTTAGTCTAAGAAGTAAGAATGATGGATGACAGAGATTTGTCTTCTGTTTTATCTCCTCTGGTTGGTTTTAGCTAAATTATTCTAGGTTCTGTTTAATGGTTTGTGTTTTATATCAGTGATTCATCATTAAGAGCTTATTTTAGGGAAGTTGCCTACTATCTCATTAAAAAAACAAAATAACATTTCTCTTTTTAAGATTACAGAAATGATAACTGTTGTGCAAACATATTCAACCTTGGGAGTTAATTCTACCATAGAAGGAATAGATATATGGCAATAAAATTCAGAAATATATACCAAGGGGTAAGAAAAAGCAATATGACATTCTGGATCCAAGAAGGGACAGGAGTTTGACACAGATTGTCTTATGAATTCATGACAAACATTAGTGTTTAGAGGTAAGTAATTATACCTTATTTTTACTTAGTAAGCTGAAAAGTAGTCGATAGTACTATCCAGGTACTTTTTGTAAATATTCACATGATGGGTGTTTCTATATTTTTTTTTTTTTTTTGAGACGGAGTCTCGCTCTGTCGCCCCAAGCTGGAGTGCAGTGGGCGCGATCCTGGCTCACTGCAAGCTCCGGCTTCCTGGTTCATGCCATTCTCCTGCCTCAGCCTCCGAAGTAGCTGGAACTACAGGCGGCCCGCCACCGCGCCCGGCTCATTTTTTGATTTTTAGTAGAGACGCGGGTTTCACCATGGTCTCGATCTCCTGACCTTGTGATCCGCCCGCCTTGGCCTCCCAAAGTGCTGGGATTACAGGCGTGAGCCACCGCGCCCGGCCGGTGTTTCTATATTTATGATTTATTTTAAGTTCCTCTTTCATATTGATCAAACATATTTGCAGTGTAACTTTTAAACTACTCCATTAAAGGTTTTGTTTTTTTAATGAATAATGAGCATATTCAATAAAAGACATCAGAGAATAACTAGAAGCCCAGAGGGCTTTTATAGCTAGGATTCTTTTTTTTTTTTGAGATGGAGTCTTACTCTGTCACCCAAGCTGGAGTATAGTGGAGTGATCTCGGCTCACTGCAACCTCCACCTCCTAAGTTCAAGTGATTCTCCTGCCTCAGCCTCCTGAGTAGCTGAGATTACAGGCACGTGCCACCACGCCCAGTTAATTTTTGTATTTTTAGTAGAGACAGGATTTCGCCATATTGGCCAGGCAGGTCTTGAACTCCTGACCTCAGGTGATTCACCCACCTCAGCCTCCCAAAGTGCTGGGATTACAGGTATGAGCCACTGCACCTGGTCTCATTTTTAATTTACATTCAAATTTGTATTTGATTCTTGTGCTAAGAAGCCCATATTATTTTTCCAGCTCAAGAGAGAATTTGTAAACATTCTTTATCAAGTGTGATCAGATTTGAGAACAGATTAGGAAGATGGATCACTCTCCCTGTGGCCTTACGCTTTATGCCTCTGTTCTCTCTGCTGCTATAGAGGGCAGCTCTGAAGAGGCGTTCATATCCTGTGTGTCGTAGATTAAGGGACACCAGATGGATGACAGGTAGTCAGAAAGTATGTCAGATGAGACTGTAAGATGTTTTTCTCTCACCTTTTGGGCTATATGACCTCAGTTACTCTCTCCTGTTAACTGAAATTACTGTTAACCTACGTTTAGCCCAAAGGAATGTCTCCTCTTGCTGCAGAATTTCCTGGAGACACAAGCAGGGATAAGAATACACTTCGTACACTTTTTGAGTCTGACATCCTTGCCATGAAAGTGAGAAAAATCAGATGTTTTCCTCATGTATTTAAAAAATTCTTTAAAAACTACATTACATGTAACCTGGGCAATATAAATACATAAGAAAGATCCTAAAATTCTACCACTCTAACGATAACACGTTTTGTTTTTGGCATAGATTTCCTTTCAGTTTTTGAAAGTTAGACTCTTTGATGCTAAGATATATTATATTTTAATTATTACTTTTAGTGTTTGGCTGGTTAGGTAGGGTGGAGTTTGCTTCCAAAATGCTTCGAAAGTTAAATCTTTATGGCAATGGGAAGTTTTGAAAAACTTGTTATCTCTTAAATTATTTTTATGATTTATGAAGAAAGATCATATGTTATAAAGGCTTTATTGTGGTCTTAGATTCAAATTTTAGCTTTCAGTAAATTTAGAACAATATTAACCTTTTAATAGTTAAATAATTTACTTGAGGCATCAGTGTTTTGATTTTTCTTCCTTTTCCAATGTTTGATTCATGGGTGTGGTATATATTAATAGACCATACCAATATGATCCGTACATACAAATGATTTGCAAAGAATGGTTCAGTTCCATCTTTTGGGTACCGGGAGATTGGAGTTCACTGTTAGGGATGGTGGGAATATTTATTTATTTATTTATTTTTATTTTTATATAGACGGGTTCTTGCTATGTTGCCCAGGCTGGTCTTCAACTCCTGGCCTCAAGCAGTCCTCCCATCTCCCCCCACAAAAGTGCTAAGATTATAGGCATGAGCCACCACTCTGGGCCAATGGTGGGACTCTTGAAAGAACATTTTCTACTTCTTGTACTTCCTTAGCAGTAGCAAAGAGGTTTCTGAGAGCAGCAATGTCAGAAAATGACATCTGCTGACCCTGGTGTCTATAGCGTCATTACACTGTTCTACCTGAAGTTATATATATCCCAAAGAAAAATGCTTGTAAGGGACCTTCACTCCTTTTGTGAATTCTCTAGATCAGAAATATCCGATTGGTAATAACTTGCAAAGGCAAACCACATGTCACTTTAATTTTTCTAGTAGTCACATGAATAAAAGTAAAAAGAAGCAGGTGAAATTAATTTTAATACTCTATTCAACCCAATGTGTTAAATGTTTTAAGAGGTCATTAATATAAAATCATTAATGAGATATATTGTATTCTCTTTTTTGTACTAAGTCTTTGAAATCTGGCATGTATTTTACATTTACAGACATCTTGCTTCTACGTAGTGACATTTCAAGTGCTCAGTAGCCACATGTGGCCAAAGTCCATCATACTGGACGATGCAGTTCTTGATACTTAGATGGTAGACGTGTTTGAGGCTTGAGGCTATCTTAATTCTGTAGGAAAGGCATTAACTGTTGTTAAACAAAACCAATCTCTTTAACACCAAAAATCATTTAAATATTAATATTTTATTTTAGGTACAAATACAAGCATTTATGAACAGTAGTTTTGGGAAAATCTTATCTTCTCAGCAGGCTCTTCAGCTACTTCAAAGGTATTTGTAACACTTTAAGCAGTGTAGTTTCTAGGGGGGATAACTTTAAATCTGAAAATACAATTTCAAATTAAAATGTTGTTGAAAATCTCTCCTACATAAACCTTAAAACTTACAAACATAAACCTTTCAATTACCACTAAATAGACTGGTAAAAATTTGAAGAATGATATGTTCTAATTGCATTTTTTTGGTAGCAGAAAGTCTTTCAACAAGAAAATGAAATTATTTCTCATGTTTCCCCTCCCTGCCCCCAGCCATGTAATATGTTGGGGGTTAATTTTATAGGTATTGTTGGAAAGGGAACAAATAACGTTTACTGCTACACACTGAAAGAATTTCTGAAAGTTAGATTATCTAAGAGTAATAGATTCCAAAACTTTCTGTTTTCCCTCCTGAGGGCTCCTGCACTTTAAAAAAGAATTGTGTATACTTAAGACGTACAACATGATATTTTTATATATGTAGTGAAATGGTTACTACAGCCAAGCCAAATAACATATTCATCATCTCACCGAGTTATCTGTCTCCCACATTTTTTTGTGGTATGAGCAGCTGAAATCTTCTCTCCTTTAGCTTCCTTTCCCTCCATCCTAAGAGCACTACTCTCTCAAAGGGCGGGGAATCCCAGATCAGAGGCCTGAGCGGGACTAGAAGCCTTTCCCTTTCAGCACAGAGAGGGCTCAAGACCTGTGTCAGGAATGCTTGTGGAGCTCTTCCCTGAGAGCCAGCGGATCTAGGGTTGGGTCTGGCTTTGCATAGTACCACGGCTGTAATGATGGAGACCTGGTGAGACCATTGTAAAAAAAGCCAAAGCAGAAATAACATGATTTTGACACGTGACAGTACTGCACAGATGGCAGGTGCCATTTTCTTGACGACTTCTGTCTCTGTCTCTCTCTCTGTCTCTTTCTGTCTCTGTCTCTCTCTTTTTACCTGTAGTATGCTGGTGTCAATTCATTTTATTACCAGAATGTTGTAGTTTTTAGTATTTCCTGTGTGTCATTCAGTCTCTGAATGGAAGCGACATTTAGCTGACAAAGTTGTTTTTATGATTATGGTTATATGGAATTACATGGAATTAACACTGGCAGAAGGTGAGTCAATGTGTTCTCTTCCATCTTTGCTAAACCGTTTCCTCACTCATCGTGTAATCCATTTGTCATTTTCTCTTATCTTACTTGAATCCCCAGACTTGTCTAGGTCTCTCTTAGTTATAGGCATTTCTGACCCATTTGTAATTTAAATAATTATTTTTGTTACTCTCAACAGATGTCTCTCTTTTCCATAAGATAATTGTAGGTTCCAGGAGAGCTAGGACTGTACCTCCTATCTTGTTCATTGCTTTATCCTAGGACAATGAATGAGGGCTGGTATGAATATCTGTCAAATGAATGAATGGATATTTACTATGACAGCAGTTCTTAAGTATATTTCTCATTTAGTTTTTAATTATTCAGCTTCAGTTGCTTTTAGATTTCAGAAGCTGAACATTCCCTGTCTTCGATCAGAAATAAACCACACAATTGAGCGTGTTCTTCAGTACTATGTGGCTGAACTCGATGCTACTAAGAAGGCAAGTGGCATGTTTACAAATAAAACAGTACATTAGCACAAAAAGAAAAAAAATCTGAAAATATTTGCCATCATTGTCTCATGCCAAGCTTTTCAGAGTGATTCTTTCACTGCTAAGGAGCATTGACGCTCCCTTCTGGGTGGGAAGGTGCTTGACAGTGTATATTCCTGGACAGCCAGATTTACACCTCTTTGCTCTGAACTGTCTTGCCAGTTATCCCACCATCATTTATTGAATAAGAAGTCCTTTCCTCATTGCTTGTTTTTGTCATTACTGAGTATGTACCCAAAGGAATATAAATCGTTCTGTCATAAAGACACACACACGCATATGTTCCTTACAGCACTGTTCACAATAGCAGAGACACGGAATCAACCCAAATGCCCATCAGTGGTAGACTAGATAAAGAAAAGGTGGTAGATAAAAAAGAACGAGATCATGTCCTTTGCAGGAATATGGATGAAGCTAGAGGCTATTATCCTAAGCCAACTAGAGCAGGAACAGAAAACCAGATACCACATGTTCTCACTTATAAGTGGGAGCTAAACACTGAGTACACATGGACACAAAGAAGGG